ATCCAACGAAATGGAATACTGCCAGAACAAATATTGACAGTTGTCCATGACAACGGCGCAAACATGGTGGCTTCAGTTACAAATCTGCGCGGGTATATCAAAGAAGGCATCGCAAGTCTGCTGAAGAAGGAAACCTCAGCCCTCGATGAGGTAATCGGAAATTCGTCCAGTCATCGTTTGGTGGACCTGGTGGAAACGGATGCCGCTCTCGAAGAAACAGCAATTGATATAGAAGTAGAAGATGAGCCTCAAAAAGAAATCGAACCAGAGGCCAGAGGTTGGCGAACCAGACCAAAATGAGCCAGACGATACCCAAAGTGATTTTGATGAAGATGATGAAGAAATTTTGTCCGTTACTGGCACCCGGTGCGCTGCTCACACCTGCCAGTTGGCTGTATTTGATGTCCTTAAAAAGCATTACCGCCGAATCGAGAACGTAAAGAAACTGTGTAAGAACACTCGACTGGGTAAATATAGAGAAATTTTCTGTGCTCACAAAGGACATCTTCCACCTATTCCTGGAGCAACAAGATGGAACGCAATTTTCCTTATGTTGAAGTCGCTACGGGAATTAAAAAATCAAAAATCATTCTTTCTAATGCTCCAAAATAATTTCGAGGAACTCAGTTAGTTTTTAAAATAGATTGCATCTATTTCTCTTTGTTATTTCATTGCATTTTGTATTTCAGATTTCTCAAAGCACCGGGTGTTCATTAATGTGTTCTGTGATGCTTTGGAGCCAATTACCGTTGTCGGAGTTTTACTCGGAATGCTTGATTTGTCACGCAAAGCTCAATTCATTGGCATCTAACTATTTGGCCAAAAAGTTGCTAAACGCTATGGAACAGAGGTTGCAAAAGCTTACATACACGATTCAGTTCAAAGTAAGTTTCTACATCGATCCACGGTTTAATTATATAGGATCCAATAGAATGACGGCTACCGATAAAGAACGCGCACAGGTAAGCCTAACAGATTTCAACAATGGTAGTAGATGCAATAGGGTAGATGCATCAATCATGGTTATACGTTCATATTATGGTGTATTGCTATTGTCACTAGTAACAAACTAGCGAAAATGATTTAACTCTAGTTGTATACGTTATACATAGCGTCGGAAGTAATGCGCTGTATAACGCATCATTGTGCGATTACAGCGCACTACTTCCGGCACTTTATAATGTATAGAACGAGAGAAAAATAGATTTTCGCTAGAGGATTATTCCAGTATTCAACCGTAGCGACAATATTTGCTATGGCCAAGGGGAATTTCATAGGCCATATTTGGAACATACAATAGTAAGAATGAATAGCTATGACTGGTAAATCTACTCTAGTTTTCTCTCTTCTTTATCACGTAATGTATTATAATATTTCATTCCTCATCTCTTTTTTTTTTGCAATTTACAGCTACTTGCTTCAACTATGGGCACGACTCAATGCACTGGAAGGTTAACATGAAGATCAACAGAATATATCCACTGAACCGAACGACGAAGCGAGTGATTTTGTAGAGCAGTATCTGGATAGATATTTTGAACGTGATTCTCCGGGAACTGGTGGACGCATGCAGCCAGCATTACCACATTGTCATGAAATATTATGCAAGCCAATTAGTTTAAAAAAATGCTTAATAGCAAAATCGATGCCTTAACTGTCGTATTTTCACTATAATATAGGACAGTTAGGCATCTACCGTAGGCGCTGTAGGTCCATGATTGTCAAAAGGGATTTAGTAATTTTCCATCTGCACAAATCTGTATGGCAGTTAACAACACCTCCCCACTACTTTTTCGATTTGTTTTGACGTCCCTGACCTCTGTGCCAGATTTGAACGAGTTTAATCTAATGATCTAGATTTTCGAGTGAGCTGATAAGAAAACTCATGTGCTTACCAAAACCATTGTTGGGGTATGGGTGACTCACCGGCGCTGGCTATATGGGAAGGGCTTCAACGGGACGGGTCAGCTTTCCTTTTTTAGTTCCTTTTCAGATGCAGAACCGGCGAGGACAATGGAACTTTGGCGGACAGAACGGACGATGGCACCAGGTAAGAACACCTCGCAGGTAAGTTCTCTTTCCAGGGGCAATTCGCACAATCTGGGGTGCATCCAGCAACGATTCAGACGGACGCAATGCAGCACGGTCCAGACCGAATGAAATAAAACAAATCCGGAACTACAACAGGAAAAAACTCGAACTTCTCGCGGATAGAAGAAAAATCGCTTACACTCCCTTTCAGCCTTTTTACTTTCAAATTGAACATGACATTCCTAGCTGTCAATGCGAAAGAAGAGCGAAACATAGCGAAAAGCGAGGGGGGCGACACATCTAAATCTCAATTTTAGATGATCAAAAAATCTCACACTAGCGAATCAATCTTCGAAAAATCTTCTTGCATTTCTCGCATCTACATGCATCGCGCATCATCTTTTTGCAGGAAATCTTCAGAATCGTCATCAATCTTCTTTCTATCTACTCAGCGTACGAGCAGCTAGCCACAGCACAACACAATCTTTACTGCAGCGTAGATAGAGTCGTCCCCCTCGGCGAAAAGCGCTATGCTACTGAAATATTTCATTGTGCCGTTTCTAAATACAGTAGTTATTCAGTTTATTACCTATCAACCATAATTTATTGATAAATTTTGTCCTTACCTGAGACTTCAATTGTAAAAAATATGCAAAACAATATTGTCGAAGGCCAGAAATTGATATGACTTCTGTGCGAAAAATACATTAACCATGTACGTTTGACCAAATGCTCCATAAATACCTATCAGACGTATGAGATCAGCGAACTAAAGCCCTACAGTAAAAGTATGGACGTCTGTTAAAAGTTGTTCCAATCGAACCGTCAAAATGCACCGTTTTGCTCGATTGTAACCTGGGGTGGGACGTGCTGCCAAATCAGCCTACTGATCCTTCTTGTATGAAATAGGTTCCAAACGTAAACAAACCCTGTAGGTTTCTTATGGCTTATTTACGTTTGGAACCAGTTATGCGAGGTAGGCGACCATTGTTCGTATTTGACAGCCACCTCCTCCCCTTGATTGGAACAGCTTGTTTTCAGTTTTGTAGTGACAGTCGTCTATACTTTAACTAGCGGGCTTTACAGCGAACTTGCGCGAGGTGACTTGCTAAATGCTGAATTTTAAATCATTAATAATTTTAGTTTACGTTCCTACGTTTCCCATACATTTCACAAACTAATTTTAAAGTTCTCTCACAATTCAGATAGTACTTTAGCTGCTTGTTGCTGGTCGTTTAGACAGTTTGTTTTTCATTAGCCTTTCTGACGTTTATAACACGCACCCTTGAAGTTTGTTATCCTCACTTTTTTAATTTAGGAGATTTTTAGCCGTAGGCTAGTTCATCTCCGTAAAGGGTGGGAAGCCTTAGAAAGAGGTCCCCCAGCCACATAGCTTGAGTATCATGCTACTTTAACCTTTGATAATCTACTTAGCCAAACATATAAACAGCTAGTACAATAACACAGTAAACAGCATACAAAAAAAAAAGACAACAAATTAAGAAGAACAAAATACAAAATGAACAAAAAAAAAACCGATAACAAAACATATGTCCACTGTAGGGGGCCCCGTCCAGTGGGGATGTCCGGACTGGCCAAAAGAATCCGATTGTTCCTATGTCGCCTTTAATTTTTCTAATAAACGGAAGTCTGGCATTGGACCATTCACTTTCACTCCAGCCAAAAATATTGGTTTGTTGTTGTTAACCTCACTTTTGGAACATCAATGCTCGCGCATTTAGAATGTACTAATGTACTATTAGCTGAGTGGTAGCTGGCACTTGGGCTGACACACAGTGATACCACTCAAAGGAGTTGTACTCAAAAGGAAACGTTTGTACATAAATTTCGTTACATTGAATGGAATAATCCTTTGAGAGTGAAAAAACAAAAATAAGTGAGTGCTGAGTTGTAATGTTGCATTGCTTGAGTTGTCAATAACTCAAATGAGTGGTGAATTTAAAAATATCAAATGAGTGTTAATCAGTGTTGATATTTCGTGGGCGGCGTGATATTTGTGATACAAGTGATTTTCACAACACTGGGTGGGAATGAGGAATATTCTAAAGGATGTATATGAAAATATTAGCAAAACTGTTCGATTCAAAGATTAGAGCAACCTCCCCTTTTCTGAGTCTAAGGGCCCATGCATTAATTATGTCACGCTAAATCGAGGAGAAATTTACCCCCCCACCCTATCGTTACGTTTTCCCTATACCTAATTCATTGCTTGTCACAAAATCTTAGACCCCCCCCCCTCCAGCGGGACATAATATATGCATCAACCCTAAGTTGTAAAATAAGACACACTAATAAAATATTACCAATCTCGGTCGAAAATAAAATTATCTAATCAAATTCGAAACGCAGTGGACACATATTTTTTTAAATAAATTTTATTGAAAAACTTATGAAAAATGGCGACTTGATGAAGTTTTCAAGTTGGTCAAAAAAATTACATAAATCGTCGATCATCAACTTATGCGAACTTTTTGCATATTTGTTTTTTTTTCGTAGAAAACGGTTAGTTGTAGGTCATGACGTAAACACGGCCGAATTCCAGTAGAAAGTTAAGGATTGCCTATTGGGGACAAATATACAAAAGTCTTTTCACGGTTATTTGGTACAAAATGTGGTCCCAGTATTTTGCGGATTAAAATTTTTTCTACATGAGTGATTCAGCATTTTCTGAGATGAGTCTTAACTGTTGTGACCTGATTCAATGCTATCCGATGTGAGTCCAAACTGTATTGAACTAATTCAACGTTTTACGAAGTGAGCCCAAATTTATCTGAATAGTAACGTAATTTTCTGAAATGGATTCAAACTTTTCTGAGCTGCTTCAACATTTTCCAAGAAGAGTCTAAACTTTTCAGTGCTGATGATTACGATTTTCAGTAAATTTATTAAGGCCAATAAGTACTTTGGCTTGCGATGCCATCCGCAGATCCGATCAACGGCTGCCGAAGTTACAACTGATCCTTCAACACCACGTAAATTGAATACGATGTCTGAGCCACCTTCCCGAAACGCTCAATATCCATGAAGAAGAACTTCGCCGCCGTGATGCCTTCCTTCCGCTGGGCTCTGAATATAACGAAAGAGAGTGCTTTCTGAACATCCAGGGGTAAGCCATACCACGGACAATCGATGATGGCTCGTGTGACGGCTAGGCTCTGTAGGGTATATTTGAAGTTAAGGCTGGGACTATCAAGTTGGTTTTACGCATTAGCATACTTCACCAGTCAGTTTGGTCAAAAGATTACAAAGGGCATATGTCTCTCCGGTGAGGACTACGAGCAATACCAGCACGCTGATGGCATTAACATCCAGGTTCTGTGAATATATCAATATGCTGATGATCAACGTATTACAGGGTGATTTAGAATAATGGTCACCGATTTCACAAATATGCCATTCTCAATTGCCCAAGTATTTTTGTTTTGAAGTGTGGACAAATATCAGCTTGTATTGATAGTAGGATTTTAAATTTCATTCGTTTGCAATTTCAAGCAGCCATGGCCGCGAAAATGGAGCATGTCATAAATCTGTATAAAATCGTGTGTTATATTTTAGAAACTGAAATGTCTTCGAACTAATGAAGTATTTATTTTCGCATCATTATAGAGGTGCAAAGGAACCATGCTTGGAAGATCCGTTCAATATCAGAGCTTAGACGCATATCCAAGACTCAAAAAGTGCTAGAACTAAAACATGCGTGTCAGCTGTGGTTCATTTTCGTGACCAATGTGGCTGGTAATTAAAGGTAAAGGGAGAGAAATATTAAGTTGAAGGTTATATATATGTAGTATATCTGGAATATACTCATATCAAAATTTCATTTGTTATGACCATTTTTCAAAAGTGACAGTTATTTCGAATCACCCTGTAGTTTAAGGTAGGCGCGTACGATACTTACATCTCTAACATACAAAACCATTGAAATCCAAATAAGTACGCAATCGACCATCTGTACGATCATGGCCAAGTTGGCGATTTTCTCCAAAAGTTGAGTGCATCTGCAAAACATGTTTCAACAAATTAGTGGGACTGATAGCTAAACGATTGTCTTATATACTTCAACGCATCTCCGTGCAAGTCTATGATATCTCGGAGTTCTTCTCGAAGTTCTGACCCAGATAACTCATGCAGTTTGTTCAGTCTCACAATCACCAACCTGAACAAAACTATAGAACAGCTCACACCGCAGAGCATGACAACTCCTACAATTGCAAAAAATACAGCTGAATAGTAATGTCCCAAGCCGGCCAGAGCGACGTAGATCACGTAATGGCCAAAGTTTCCTCGAACATTCAGACCGTAGAACCTGACATTTTAAGGTATACATTTAATTCGACGTAAAACTAGGTCTGCTTTGCTGAATACATACTCTTGCTCCATCATAGTGACGTACTCTGCCTTCTCAGTACCGTTGCCACTTTTGTTTACGACAAAAATCATCACACTTTGCACTACAGGTGCCAGCGAAAATAAACTGACGCATCCCAGAATGTACAAGAAATAACCTTTGGACCGCCTGTCGATGATGGTATTCGATTCCAACACGATATCCTTCAATGTTGAGTCGCCATTAGCGGAAAATACTGGAAATTTTGTGAAAAGAAAAAAAAAACCAATTCGTCAATAAATCAATCCCTCGGGAGAATCCACAGTACTAGTCCATCACATTTGTTGTAAACCTTCCGCATGATGGCAATCATCTCTTCGAACTTGGACCGATTCCAAGCGAAAATGACAATTCGAATCTGAATATGCAGCTGAAACAGTAGCTCCGATAGGCTTCGTATCACCAGATCAAGATGATCGGGGAACCCCAGAAATATCTTCGGGAAGTCAATCATCACCACCGTCCACAGGACCGTCAGTTGAAATTGGAGAAATCTCCGATTGCCACCACGCAGTCCGTAATTTTCCAGCAGACGCAATGCAAACGGCAGCACGGTTTTAGGCTCCGAGAGCTTGAAGAACTTCATTGTCGGTTGGGTCAAATGGCACAAGACGGACTCGTCAAGCCAATCGTTGCTTCGTTGGACTTATATTCGCAGATAGGAGCTATTTTTTGCAAGTCATAACAATGTGGTGCATTTGCTGGGGTCAATGATTATGGAGCTGGCCCAATGAAGGTCACCGGAAGCCTTGGAAACGCCAATGTGTATTATTATTATTGAAGTGACTTGTAATGGTTTGAGTCAAATTATTTAAATCTGTGGCTGCCTCGACTTGATTAACTGACTCTGATTACAGTTGTCAGTACCGAACCACACCGCACGCAAGTTATAAAAAGACTGACTCGACATATCACCTCCAATCATTTAAGGATTGATAATTAGTACTACCCATCGCTTTCATTCAGCTATTTTCCAACCATTCTGGCTGATTGCTTGAATGTAATTAGTGTCAACCCTAAGCTCATCATGTATATAAATCAGATCGATTGTTTTGAAAACAGCTGAGAAATGGGGGTGGGTAAAACTTATTATCTACAGCGCCCTTTGGGAAATAGTTATTCCTATATTCAAGCACTAAAGGGTGTTCCACATCAAATTGCATCCCGGAAAAAAATTACCTAGTTGATTGATCCTTTTTAAACTTTCAGACAGGCTTATAATTGCTTATTACAGCTAAAATGCTAGTTTTCGTAATTATGAAACTATGGGATACTATAATGATAATTTTTATTTGTAAGATGCAAGAAGAGGTGGTAAAGTTTGTGTATGACATATAAAATTTGAGGTGAGGTGAGTAATATTCCATTGCTCTTAAATTGTAACAATTATGCTGCCTGTATCTTTTTTTTTCTCGATTCACCACTGCCGACGAAGATTGCTTCGGATGATGGATGTCCTATGGAGCTGATAGAATTATATTTTTTTTTATGTTTTTGACTACAGTTGATATTTGAAGCCATGTTCACTTTATGTTATGTTCACTTTATGTTATGTTCACGGATGTGCTTGTTTTGTAATGTTTGTACTGTATTGTGAAAAGATATGGGGTTTTTACGCCATTTAAATTGGCTTTTCCCCATCACATTCATTAAGAGCTTGAGCTTGAAGCTTGAGCTTGATTGACCGCCCACGGTTGCTACTCTGTTACTGCCAGATCAGCTGGAATTACACAGAGAACCAATATACGATGCTTGGGGCTAGCAATCATCCTCAATGTGTAAAAACTGGTGATCTTAAATTAGGCAATACCAGCGCCGGCCGCGCCCGAACACAGGTCAAGAAAGGAATGGGAAGGATTGTGTTGACATGACACTCGCTTTGATGGAAGCCGAGAACACCCGTAAAAAAAAGAACCGTAGAGGTACAATGAAATGTATTGTAACCATACAATAGAGTTTATGGTATTTAAAATAAATCGTACTCTCCACAACGATAAAATAACAATAGAATATATTGTTTCTACAATAGAATCAATGGTAAATGGGGGAATATACAATAGATTAAGGGGGTCGTTATGTAACTTAACCATACGAAAAATCACTTTTTCCCGAACAAACTTGAACCATTTACCATTAATTGTATTGTTGTTCTATTGTTGAAAACTCTTACTATATGGGACGTATTGTACATCTATTGTAATAACAATATGTTAAAACTTCGTGTACTATATACACACAATAATATCGATTGTTGGCAATAGATTTACTTGTAACTGTATTTTATTTTATGGTAATTGTATGGTTATTTTTTTCCGGGCACCTCTGCACTTCCACGAGGAATCATTGGGATGTTGGATAAGAGGGTTGGGTTTGCAGCAGGGTTCGTTTTGGTAAACGATAAGCTGAATTGATGTCCTAACGATCATATAACGCGAAGGAGCTTGGGACTAAACCCACGGTCTTCTGCTCAGTAAGCAAAAACGTTTGCCACTAGGCAGACGAGCACCTTTTTAATCACCGAGTTGCTGTTATAACCATGTAGTCATATTAACAAATAAAACGATTGACGAATCTTGAATGTGGATGGGCCTGAGATTAGACTCATGATGTTCTGCTCAGTAAACAAAAACGGTTGCTCTAAGGCCACCGAGCCCCTCATATCACATAATACCGTTGCTCAAATTTGTGTATCCATTCAAACCCGGAACCAACGACAACAACGAGTTTCGCAAAATACACGATACACAAGCGATTTTACCATAAATCTCTTTGATATGTAAGGACCTGGGACATCGTTTTTCTGCTCAGCAGGCCACTGTAACCGACTATCTTTCAAATCCAAAAACTAAAAACTACGAAAAAGTACTTAGGCCTTCATTAAGTTCCACTTTCACGCGACGTTCAATGACAGGGTCCTATCCAGGATTACATCTGAAAAATCCAAATCTGGCCAACGCCCACCTAAACCTGTTCTAATCCACCTGAAATGACTAACCAATGGAAGACTTTGACTACCCAGCCATGCAATAGTCTCATTCCGTGCCTTATGGCAACTTGATGATTCTATTGCGCTCATCTTTTGGCACCACCCAGGGGAGACTTGGTCCTGTACCCAATGCTTAACTTATCTCCATTCCACTCAGCTACTCGCAATTTCTTGTGATATAGTGGGCGGAATATTATTATATGAGACAATTCAATGCAGACGTCTTTCCAAATTTGGCAGATCGACAGGTAATCGGTGAGTTACCACGATAGTTGCTATTCAACAACTCGACAACGTCCCATCGTCAACGCCTGCTATGAGAATTTCCCATTGCAGACGCCAACGAAATGACGTCATCGAGCTATCGATCAACTACCCTGGTTATCGCCTGGTACCTTATAGCACGATGCTAGGAGGCGAACCGGAAGAATCGATGAGCTACCTCTCCCCCTTTCCCCATCACATTCATTAAGACGACAAAAAGTCAGATGAATAAATAAATAAATAAATAAATAGTAGGATATCGGCTGAGAAGGTGATAGCAGCTGTTAGAAGCGCTAAAAACATGAAGGCCGCGGGTTTCGATGGTGTAGTCAACCTCGACTTCTTCAACCATCTCACCGTTATATTCAACAAATGTTTGGAGCTTGGCTACGTCCATACATGCTGGAAGTTAGCCAAAGTGATTCCAATACACAAGCCTGGCAAAGATCCTACCAGTGTCAATAGCTATCGCCCCATCAGCCTCTTGTCCTCCATCTCGAAGCTATTCGAAAAGTTGATACTCAGTCGGTTGCAGGAGTTCTTCAATGAAAATAACATCGGGTTTAGGAAAGGCCATTCAACGATCCACCAACTAAGTAGAGTTATTAACATCATCAGGCGGAACAAGTCCATTTCACAAACATCTCCTATGGCATTGTTGGACGTTGAGAAGGCGTTTGAGAATGTCTGGCATGATGGCCTAGTGTACAAACTGCATCGATATAACTATCCGATTTACCTCGTGAAGATCATCAAAAAATACTTGTCGGGCAGATCATTTCAGATCTACTTGAACAATATCCCCTCTGATACGTTCAACGTTGATGCAGGGGTACCTCAGGGTAGCCGGCTTGGGACTATCCCATTCAAAATTTTCACGTCAGAAGTTCCTCCCCTGCCGGGTGGTGGTATCCTGTCAGTGTTCGCAGATGGCACTTCCATCATCTATAAGATCATGTGATCCGTGCTCTGGCGAGTAAACTACAATCAGGCCTGGATGTTCTGTCCGACTATTTCAAAAGATGGAAGATTTGTATCAATGCCGCTAAAACAGAAACCATTCTGTTTCCACACTCGAATTTACCTCGGCTTGTTCCACCTGCTAACGTCAAGGTCCATGTTGATAGCACTCCCATTGAATGGTCGAGTGAAGTAGTCTACCTTGGTAAAATCTTGATCAGGTCGCTCTACCCTCTGCTAAACAGGAAGTTCACCCTGTCCCTCAAAAACAAGCTTGCTGTCCACAAGCAGATCATTCTGCCGGCTTTTGAGTATGGTATGCAAATCTGGGAGAGTTATGCTAAGTGCCACCACCTAAAGCTTCAGAGGATCCAAAACAAGATCCTCATAATGGTCCTTAACAGTCCACCCCTCACAATCCCTCTCCAAAGGGGGAGTTGGGTAAAGAGAGATGATAAAACCGATTTGTACCTTCCTAAAAGTTGTCCTAGCTCGCTGTCTACTCTCTATATGCAATGTTCACACTGCCGTACTCTAAACGGAACTATCAATTCTATGCTTTCATCTCCTTCTCATCTATCGTATAAAAATTACCACTTTAGTCTGTTATTTGAAGGTAGCATCTTCAACTATTTTTTTAACTAGTTCGTTTATTTACTAGGCTCAGTCGTGTGTGACACGTTGCGGAGCCAAACTCAGTAATGTTTGATTTACATTTTAAATAACAGTATTTCCAGGTTGGGTACCAATTACTCGTGGTGGCCTCGAGGTTAATGGGTAACAATTTCGATTGGAAGGATCTAGGTAGGAAACTGGTTTCTGAAGCCTACTTCAGATACTACTCTCGTACGGTTGACCAAATCCTGGCTGGGCAGAGGCAAGTAGCACAGGAACAGGAGGATAATAAGACTGGGACACAATGGCGGGAAATTGTTTGGAAAGGAGGGGATGGTCACATCAAACTCTAACATCAGACAAACAAAGGAATTCGTAGATCGCTTGCATGTAGGGAAGATCACGCGTTCCCAATACATCTCTTACTTCACGGAAGGGTTGTCTACCTCGGGCCACTAGGGTATCCAATAGTCGTTCTCTGGAGGCGTCATTACCCGGGCAATATCAAACTTCGTGGTCGATGTCATCATAACCGGTTGCTGACAACGAGGTTTATTCTATAGAGATGTGCGTCTAGCGAGGTTGGACATAAGTCTTGACATCACTCGAATGAATCTTCGACTTACATCCAGACCTTTGAGCCACGCTCTCGAAGAAACATTTGGAATAATGGAATGTAACCACAGCCCAAGAGAATTACTTGTCCAATCGTTTTGCCAACTTTAAAGAGAACTCTGACGTACTAATGGGAAAAACTCATC